ATCCTCTCCGGAAATCCTGAGTTGTTAGAATGAAACGATTAGGCCACCTACTTAACACCAGAGTCAGAAAAAGCACGTCCTTATGGCTCTGGCCCTGTGTGAGTCTGGCCGTAAACACAGTATCAACAGAGACACACGGGACCAGGTGGTTCCCCACTGAGTCACTTCAGCTTCCTGGAGGAAATTGACTAGAGCTGTGTCTTCAAGATGATGGTCATTTTGTTGCTAAAAGATTAAACATTGACACAGACACCAGGCAAGCCTGTTTCTTACTTGTTCTGTGTTTTTCCTCTTAGTATTTTAAAGCATTTACAAAGGACTTTACAACCGGAGAAAATTTTAAAGGTAAGGACATAAGCAATCTATCTCCCTCCCTGTCTTAGATTAACCTCACAACCCATCAAAGTGAAAAATGACTTCAGGAGACTAGAAAACTCAGTGACAGGGCTGTCCCCACCCCACCCCACATGTTGACACCAGCCCTGTCCTGCCTGCCTCCTTAAGAGCACAGACATTCAGGCTCGGCGGGAACTATTTATTTTGTGCTCTGCCTTCCTTGGCAGACACGGTGGTGACATTTCTTTTTTATTGGAGAAGTACACATCCCATGCATTTTTATGAATGATGAGCCCGCCTGGTAGCCCAGACCAGGTTCCGGCATAGGACCCGTCAGCCCACAGGTGACAGCGTTCTACGCCAGGGGCCGTCCTGCCTGGTTCTGACCCCGCTGCGGCGGGATCACAGCGCGTCTGGCCGTTGTCTCCACGGCGTGTGTGAGGTCGTCCGTTGCCCATTTGCTCCTACACTTGTCGCCGTGTGGTCTCCAGCCGTGTGATCCACTGCTGTCTGCCCCGCACACTGGATGGGCACAGCGCCCCCGCTGGGGCCCTGGGCGGGGCGGGCGCTCAGTAGGCAGCGGCCTGACAGGCTGCCTCCCACAGGGCCCGACAGAGAGCTGCGGACGGTGAGACAGGCCATGATCGACTTCCTGCAGAACCACACGGAAGGGAACAGGCCCCCTGCCTGCCCGGCCTTGGACCCGATTCGGTACGTAGCTCTGTGAAAACGTGGCACGTTGCGAGTGGAATTTAATTTTGTAAAATATAGATGTGCGTTAAGTGTCATGGGCGCTGGTGTGTGATGGCCAGCTCACTGTTCCTGAAAGCACTAAAAGCCTCTTTTTTTCTCTTAAAAGGCCCAGTGACGTTTTTTCTCTCATTGACAACCGTGACGGCCGTTATATGGCTATTTTATTTGAGAGCAACAGCTCGTATGTTGGACGTGAGGTACGTGTGACAGGGTTCAGTGTGGGGCCCAGGAGTAAATTGCTGGGCAGTGGGAGCTGCTGGTTCACAGAGAAGGGCGGGTGTGGGGGGTGCTCTGAGGGCAGAGCAGGGACAGGCAGCAGCAGCCCGTGTGGGCCGGGCCTCACAGGAGACCCACCTCCGTGGGTCACTCTTCACTCCCTGCGCACTGGTGTCAGGATTTCTTCTTTGCTGTATTCTGAACTCTCAACTTTCTCGCCAAATCCAAGATTCTGTAAAGCACGTTTCCATCGAGAGACTGCTCCCCTGTCTTCTGCCGGGTGAGGGTCTGAAGGCTGTGCCTCAGTAAGTCTCAGGAAGACCCAGGGACCAGATGCCAGGAGGGATGGTAGGGGTTCCTGGGGACGGAGGAAGCGCCCGCTCTCGGCACCAAGCTTCCCTCTGCCGCTATCTGCGAGCTCTGGGAACGAAGGTGGAGACACGGGCTCCGGGGGCGCTTTTGTGGGTACAGCTGGGGCCGCCACCCCACGCCTCTGAGTCTGGTGGTGCCGTCACGCCGCCTTCTCTGCGGGGCTGGAGGACCAGCAGCAGGACCCAGCATTCCCGTGTGACCCCGTCCCCAACTCTCCCAGGCTCCCTCTCTCACCTGTGCTCTGGAGTGACGTCCTGTGCCACCTCCATGCACACCGACCTGAGTGGGGACTGCTCCCCAGGGTGCAGGCGTGTGGACTGTTCAGGAGGCTGCTGTGCGGCCAGGCTCGGGCGCGCTCAGCTGTCCTCTGGCAGACGCGGCTCAGTCAGCAGACGCCCTGTTCAGGACACGGCTGGTCCCGCCGCCCCCACCAGAAGTCAGCAGCCGTCTGGGGGCGGTGCACGCAGGGTTTGTGGGCTGCCTCTCCCACACTCTGGCTCCCGAGATGCCACTTCTGTGGTCCCTCTGGCACCGGGACCCATCCCTGCACCCTCGGCCTAGTGGGACCGGGCAGGGGCAGGTCCTGAGGGAAGGAGTGGCCGGCACGGAGCCTGCTGGCACTCCAGCCGGCTGATCAGGGCCACGTTGCCGTCCCCGGATACTGGTGGCCTCGCAGACACAGGACATGCTGCGGGTACATGGCCCTGTGCGCTAGGGGACGCTTAGGCGTGTGGCCCCCCATGTACACATGGTGGTGTGTCCTTGTTTGATGAACATCAGTTTGTGGAGGACGTATGCGCTAGCTTAGCTTAGACAGTGCAGGACAAGTTCACGGACAAGCGTTTTCACGGTCAGTGTGTAGGACTGCGAAACAAGACTAGTTTCCTGGTTCAGTACCTCAGCATGAAATCAAAAAAGGTGTAAGTAACGGTCTGGTTATAGAGGAAAATACAGATTTACTCTGTAAGATGTTTCCAGTTCCTGCAGCAGGCCAGTCCTGTCAGTGTGACACTTCCGAGGACGCCGCCATCCACAGGGAAGGTGACAGTCTCTCCCTACCCAGGTGATTTTGGACCTGATTCCGTACGAGAACATCGCCGTGAAGAGAGCGCTGGCTGTGGATGGAGCCGCTCTGGGGAAACTTGGCATTTCTTCCGTCCCTTCGTGTTACTTGATTTACCCAAATGGGTCCCACGGGTTGATTAACACGTAAGCATAGTTTGGCTTAAGGACTGTTTGTGACACCTGGTGGGTCTGGGGTGGGAGCGCGCTGGGGCCAGGTGTGATCTGTGTATGCCAGGGGCGAGCGTGCCTCCCTTTTTCCACAGGGAGCGGTGGGCGCGGGTGGGCGCCAGGCTCGAGTGCCCCGCTTTGTGCTGGGCCCAGCAAGCCATCAAAACGCCATTTGCCTCTGCGTTGGGTACCTGGGCACCACTAAGGTCACCTCGATTGAGTACAGGTTGGGGAAAGGTCTTGTCCTGAAACCTGCGTCTGTGTGCCCCAGCCTCCTTAGCGGTGGGGAGGCCCGCTGGCCTGGACACCCGGGCCCGTAGAGCCTGCGTTTACTCAGCAGTCCTTGGCAGTCGCCATGTGCCGGGGCCACAGCAGTGAGAAGACAGGACAGGTTCCCTCCCTCACAGGCCTTCTGGTTTAGCTTCTGCAAAGTTTAATAGCACCAAGGGTGCCTTCCCTCCCCAGAAGCCTCACACGCCAGCGCCTCACGTGCATTTCTAGCCTTAATAAAGATCTCGGAATGCAGGGTAAGCACAGTGTCTGTGGAGCTGGGCCGTCTTGTATCACGCTTGTGATCCGGCTCGTTAGGATGCTGTAAGCACCTGGGCGGGCACACGTGGGGCCCCCGGCCCGGCACACCTGGGGCACCTGAGCGGGCACATCTGGGGCCCCCGGCCCTGCAGCAGAGGCCACCGGTGCCCGTGACAGCTTCCCTTAACACTGCCATTTTGTTTCTCAAAGAAAAAGTGCTCATTTTATATTAAAAGTGTGACCTGTGCAATTGCACGTAAAACGACATTGATATTTTTAGCTGAGTGCTTTTGATGGCCCCTGAGGCACATTGGAAGTGCTCAGCAGCGGCCTCCACGCATCCTCACCCGGGCCGCACAGCAGTGCTCAGGGGAGCCAACCAAGCCCGTCAGGCAGGCCCAGGACACCCCCTTCTCCCGGCCTCAACTTCCAGAGGTTCCCCCCCAGAGCTGGCAGACTAGGCAAAGGCTCTCAGGGTTGTTGAAAATCACAATTTGAATAAAGCTAATGTTGGCTGATGTTCAACCAGCCTTACAAACCAACTTACTGTCCCCATGTCCCCACTGAACAAGAATGATTGTAGCTCTTAGTTACAGCCAGAGCTGGGTGCAGTGTGGGTCTGTCTGATCTCCAGAGGGGCCAGCTCCCTGAGGCCAGCTTCTGCCCACCTCCACCCCCANGAGCCTGGTGTCTGCTCCCTGGAGAACCGAGGGCCAGAGACCAGTAGGGCCACTGTTGGGATGCTGTGAGAGACTTAGGGTGGCATTGGGCACTCTGTGTCACAGCCGGGCTGCCCCTGGCCATGGCCTGTGTCGCGCAGCCCCGAGCGGGTCCTCCAGCAGGCGGTGCAGGAATGCCCTGGACCTGGGTGTTGTGCATGTGCACGGGTCTGCATGAGTCGGGCCTCGGGCTTGTTCAGGGTTAGGCCCTGACGTTGGCGTAGGAGCCCTCCCACTGCAAGTCGGCCGGTATTTCAGGGGTCAGAGGCATCAGGAAGGATTAGGCCAGTGCAGGCTTTCCTTAAACACCTTGCAGCCAGAGTGTGGCTCTGAGGGACTCGGGCTCTGTCCACCATGGTTGTGGGAGGAAGCAGTTGGCTGCTCACCTGGGGAGAAGCAGGGTTTTCCTCTCTTTCATTTTTATGCCACCGGCTGTTGTGCCCTTTTTGAAAGGGCAGGGTCCACCTACTGGGTGCTGGGGGAGGTGGGCGGAGCTTCGAAGGCTGAAGACCCAACGTGGTGGCCGCAGTCCACATGGCCCCCACTTTCCCAGCATAAGGGATCTGTAGCCTGTCACCTCTTCCTCAGTGGGACGGCAGCCAGCGCCTCTGGGCTGATACCCCAGAGAGAAGAGCTGGCTCCCCGCTTGTGGGGTATGGGGTGTGGGGGAGGCGGAGGATAAGAGTCCTCTTTTGGTCCTGTTTCTTGAGGGCTACCTAGGACGACAGAGCGGAGATGGCAAGTAGGTGGGTGAAGCATACAGTCGGCTCTGGTAGGGAGAGGGGCAGACGTCAGGGTTGACAGGCAGTGGGTCAGCCACCCTCGACCCCCGCCCTCACCCCAGGGACTTTGGACAGGGGACAAGGTTGCTGCTCTGCCAATGATCTGTTCTCCGTCCCCCAGAATCTCTGAGGCCAGAGAGTGGTGGTTATGTTAGGGAACGGCTGTAGGTGCAGGCAGCATATGGACCTCTGTGTCTGCCCGGAGCCAGGGGACCNGGGCCCGTAGAGCCTGCGTTTACTCAGCAGTCCTTGGCAGTCGCCATGTGCCGGGGCCACAGCAGTGAGAAGACAGGACAGGTTCCCTCCCTCACAGGCCTTCTGGTTTAGCTTCTGCAAAGTTTAATAGCACCAAGGGTGCCTTCCCTCCCCAGAAGCCTCACACGCCAGCGCCTCACGTGCATTTCTAGCCTTAATAAAGATCTCGGAATGCAGGGTAAGCACAGTGTCTGTGGAGCTGGGCCGTCTTGTATCACGCTTGTGATCCGGCTCGTTAGGATGCTGTAAGCACCTGGGCGGGCACACGTGGGGCCCCCGGCCCGGCACACCTGGGGCACCTGAGCGGGCACATCTGGGGCCCCCGGCCCTGCAGCAGAGGCCACCGGTGCCCGTGACAGCTTCCCTTAACACTGCCATTTTGTTTCTCAAAGAAAAAGTGCTCATTTTATATTAAAAGTGTGACCTGTGCAATTGCACGTAAAACGACATTGATATTTTTAGCTGAGTGCTTTTGATGGCCCCTGAGGCACATTGGAAGTGCTCAGCAGCGGCCTCCACGCATCCTCACCCGGGCCGCACAGCAGTGCTCAGGGGAGCCAACCAAGCCCGTCAGGCAGGCCCAGGACACCCCCTTCTCCCGGCCTCAACTTCCAGAGGTTCCCCCCCAGAGCTGGCAGACTAGGCAAAGGCTCTCAGGGTTGTTGAAAATCACAATTTGAATAAAGCTAATGTTGGCTGATGTTCAACCAGCCTTACAAACCAACTTACTGTCCCCATGTCCCCACTGAACAAGAATGATTGTAGCTCTTAGTTACAGCCAGAGCTGGGTGCAGTGTGGGTCTGTCTGATCTCCAGAGGGGCCAGCTCCCTGAGGCCAGCTTCTGCCCACCTCCACCCCCACCCCAGCACCTTTAGTAATGGGTGACAGGTGACTGGGTGACTCAGCACGTGATTTGGATCCTGCAGATCCTGCAGGTCCCGCAGAGCTGGACCCGGCCCCTCGGAGCGGCCGGCTCAGCCCACATCCTGCCCGCCCCTTTCTCGCAGCGCAAAGCCTCTCCGATCGTTTTTTTCCTCTTATTTGAAGTCGTTGCCAGATGTGAGGAAAAAATCACTTTCGTTGCCTGCGAAGCCAAACGAAGAAGAAAACTCTGAAGTCGTGGTGTGGAGAGAGTTTGACAGGCAAGTGTTCCTGTGGACATGAGCTGTTCAGGGAGTGGCTGCATGTGCCGGCGGCTGCATGGAAGGCTTGGCTCGCTGTAGGGTCTGCTCCAGTGACAGACCACTGTTGGCCGTGGAGGAAATTCCCATGGTGACCTCGTGGGGAGGGGTCCTTCTGGGGTAGGAGCAAGAAAGGGGGGTTCCGTAAAGAAGGTGGTTTTCACGTGACTGATATTTAATCTTAGGTCTAGGCTGTACACAGCGGACCTGGAGTCGGGGCTGCATTATCTGCTGAGGGTGGAGCTGGCTGCTCACAGGTCTCTCGCTGGGGCCGAGCTGCGAGCACTGAAGGATTTCATCACCATCGTAGCCAAGGTGTGAGGGGCGTCTGCTCTGGGCGGGGGCTCGGCCCACGGAGAGGGTGCTCAGGACACCGGGCTCCCTGACTTGAGGGGAGGGAGGCCGACCTAAGCCTGATGGTGCCCACCGTGTGTCTCACCTGCCCGGGCAGTGGGGACATGATATGCAGCGAGCCTAGAGAGCACCGAGCAGAGGGGGCCGGGGTGGCCCGGGTCAGAGGTGAGCGTGGGTGCAAACAGGCGCTGCCAGTCGGCCTGTGGCCACATGAGAAGGGGAGTGGGGAGCAGGGCGCGGGCGGGCAGTTGGAGGAAGAGTAGCGGTGGCCGCCGTGCCGTCGTGGTCCACTAGTGTGTGTCGTGTTGGATGGGACCTGTGGCAGGCTGGCTGGCACCCCACCTTTAGTAGTAGGCGGAGTGGGTGGGTGGCTCATGTTTTAGCTAAAGTTTAGTTCCTGCCGAGAACTCTTAGCTCCAGGGCTGAAACCCATGGCTCCTTTATGTTGAAAGGAATAATGAGTTGCCTGTATGTTTCAAATGAATAAAGGAAAGTTGTTTGGACAGATTTTGACACCCCTGTGCCGTCCACAATTCAGAAACCTGCAGCGGTCCTTGTTTCCTTGAAGGAAGTGCTTTGCTTATCTGTGTTGTGTGACGCTCGCCTGCTGGGGCTGTTAGATGAGAACCCACCCCGACCAGCTTGCCCCGACCAGCTCGCCCGCTTCGTCCTCGTTTCGTTCAGTGAGGCGTGAGGCAGGTGGCGCTGCCTTACCTTCGCCATTTTTCTCAAGTTTACTTAAACTAAATGCTGGTGAACTGGTAGTGGTTCTGGGAAAGCTACGTAGGAAAAACATTTTACGGAATTGACGGTGTGGTGTTTGCACTGTGATCCTGTGATCGCGTTGTCGTCAGCAAGACTTAGTCTGTAAGGTTTAGTTCGGGTTTTAAGAGCTCTGTGCTGTGGGCAGCCTTCATTCTGCACGCCCTCAGCAACGACCACCCACTCGCAGTTCCCACAGGGCTCTGGGGTCCCTGGTGGCTCAGCGTGAGGGCTGGTGTCCATGAGCCTGGAAACCACAGTGGTACTGATCCTTTCCCAGCGGTCACACCGGGCCACAGCACGCGGGGGGTGGGGGGTGGGGTAAGCAGGCACCAGGCGGGCTCAGCGTGAACTGTCAGGAGGAGGGAGCACAGAGCCCTTGACAGCGCACAAGAAGGTCATTGTGAAGTGGCTGGCTGGTGTGAGGACGCCGCGGTGGGCTGGAGGAAAGGGCTCCGGTTTTCCTGGGACGGTGTTGGCCAGAGCCCACTCGCCAGCACCGCAGGTCCTCTCCGTCCTGAGGAGCTGTAGCTCTTGGAGAGACTCCTGCCCCAGTCCTGGGTTAAAGCCGTGGGTTGATTAGAGATATTTCCCACCGTCCGAGTGGGGCAGGCACATTCTCTTCTCTGTGGGGGGGGCACTTTACCAGTTTCTAAGTGAGAGTCCTTCCTCGCTCAGCTGTTCCCCGGGCGGCCGCCAGTCAGGAAGCTGTTGGAGATGCTGCAGGAGTGGCTGGCCAACCTCCCCCTGGACAGGATCCCCTACAATGCCGTCCTCGACCTGGTCAACAACAAAATGCGGGTGAGCCCAGGGCTGGGGACCCAGACTTGGCAGGTGGGGAACCGGAAGCTGATGTGCCCGTGGCCTGATATCGTGCCAACACCTTCAGGCCCGGGCGTGGGCATTCGCTCGTTTCCCCCCACTGTCCCTGTTGCCATGACTGCCTTTGTCCACTCCCACACGTCTCTGGTGTTGTCAGCTTGTGCCGAGTCCCCCGTTTATGGGCAGTCCCAGAAACGTGACGCACCTGCACAGGAAGGAGTGAGTGACTTCTCAAGCAGCGACGCACCAGGCTTTTTGTAATTTAGATTTAAGTACACTCATTTCGGTTTTACACCTGAAAACGAATGAAAGTGACATGTTCCGGAAAGAGTGTTGGAGCTTCCGCTTCGGGCGGTGAGGGTCCCGGAACCCCCGCTTCTGGCCAAGAGGGTCCCACGGAGCAAACCCAGCACAGTCTGCGTCAGGACGGGGCGTGCTCCGCATGTGCTCACAGGTTTCCTAAGTGTCCCCATGTCACCACCACCCAGCCGGATAGAGGACATTCACCAACTTTTTAATTATAGCGATTTAATTCTCTTCCTCATTCCTTTCCCCCCAGATTTCTGGAATCTTCCTTACTAGCCATATAAAGTGGGTTGGATGTCAAGGAAGCCGACCGGAGTTGAGGGGTTACACATGTTCTCTCTGGAAACTGTTCCACACTTTGACCGTCGAAGCTGGAACCCACCCAAAAGCGCTGGATGACACAGGTGAAGTGTCCCTGTACGGCCACCTGACGTGTTTCCCGTGATGGCGCCTGCCAGGTGCCATCAAGCTCAGCAGAGGTTGGTTTTGCGTGTATAAGGCAGCGTGTCATCGTCTGCCCAGTGGCCATGCGGCTGTGCTTCTGGAGCCAGAGCTCCCAGCTTCTTAACTGGTGGGCACGTGCGTGGCAGGAGCTGTCTGTCGCAGAGAGGACTGAGAGCGCGCTGGCTGGGAGAAGTCAGAATGAGTGAATATGCGTGGGAAGGTGTATGTTTGATCTCATATTGCATAACAAATTACCCTGAACGTAGCAGCTTAAAACAGTGCACACTTATTATCTCACAGTGTCTGTGGGTCAGGGGTCCAAGGTGGCCAAACTGGGTCCTGTCTTAGTCAGTGTCAGCAGGGGCAGGGTGTCACCTGGAGGCTCGACAGGGAGCGCCCCGCCTAGGCACACTCTCGGTGGTGGCAGGACTTAGACCCCGGCTGGCTGTCCTCACCACGTGGCCTCTCCACAGGCAGCTCCCATCACAGCAGCTGGCTGTCAGAGCACCAGCAAGCAGGGCGCCCTCTGTGGTGTGACATCCCCCATGTGTTCTGGTCGTTAGAAAAGAGCCATTGGCCCAGCTCACGGGGGAGGGGTGACATGCCTGAGTGTGGGAGGGGGGCGGGGGCATCTCATAGGCTACCCGCCACAAGAGGTTAAAACTGCAAAGCTTTGGGCTTAATAATCTCAATTATCAGGAAATAGCTCAGTGAGAGCGGTCATGTTCTGCGTCCTACACACGACGCTAACACTGCACTGGCTTCACCTGCTCTGGGCTCTGTGGGTGTCTGGCAGGCCCCTGGCGGACTCGGGGTGCTTGCTTGTCCTTCAGGTGCTGTTTTTCTAATCATTTAGGTGCACTGATGTTTATATTAAGTCAGAAGGGGTGTCTTTTGACTCACACAGTCCAGTATTCTTCCCAGTAAAATTGTAAAATTCTTAGTTATCTTTTGCTGTGTGACAAACTAGCCCAAAGTGCAGTGGCTTAAAACAACCACCGTTGTATTTGCTCATGGTTCCATGACCGTCAATTTGGGGGCCCGGCTTAGGCCCAGGGGCTCAGCCGTGCTGGCTGGTCTAGACTCAGAAAGTCCGAGCCCTGCAGGCCGGCCCCACTCCTCACATGGTGACAGCATATCCAGGAAGGGCTCGCGGGGCTTCCTCCGCCGGGGGGCACACGGCATCGCTTCCATCACATCCTGCTGGTCACAAAGGTCTTGTCCAGCCCATGTGCAAGTGGGGACATAGACGCCACCTGATGAGGTCACATTGCAAAGGGGCACCTGGCCGTCTGCGGAGATCTTCGCCACCCCAGCGCTCTCCTTCCAGGGCCCTGGTGGGGGAGAGCTGGGCTTTCAGACCACACAGCCCTTTAAGAATCATACAGGAGAAGTGGGGTTTTCAGGAGAAACCTCGGGACCCCAAAGTGAGATCGGCCTCAGCACTGCCTGATGGAACGTGAGCAGGCCCGTGTCCCCATCTGGGCCGCGACCCTCAGGATGGAGACCCCATGTTTACTGTGGACGGTCCTGCTGAGACAAGACAAGCACTTGACAGGCAACATGGTGACAGCCAGGGACGGGGTTGTCCCCAGGGTATTGTGCAGAAATGTTGCAGAGCTGATGCTGGTGTCCTGATGTTGTGAGGGCAGCAGACGACAGAGCACAGCGTCCTCGTGTCATCCGTGTAGACTGCAGGAGTGTCGGGAGTGCGTCTCATGCTAGAGAACTGGGTCAGACAGAGATGCTGGATTATGTCTTGGAAGATTTTCCTCTCCTTTCTGCACATTTAAACCCCATCGTCTAGAAAGCCTGCGCGTCCCTAATCCGCCTCAGGTAGCTTTATGGTTCTTGTCCACTTTAAAGATTAGGGCGGCCCTGAGTTGGAGCTTTGCTGGGGAGAGAAAAGGAGGATTACACAGCGAAGTGCAGCAGCTGTCGGCTGCAGAGGAGGGTAGGCGAGTGGGCAGAGGCCCAGCCTCGGCGGTCCCGAGTGAGTCCTGAGCGTGTCCCAAGCCTGAACGTCGTTGGTCTTAATGGGCGCCCCCCCCCGGTGGTCCTTGGAGACACTCAGAGCCCAGAGTCGCTGGTGCACTCAGATCGCTCGCGCCCCCTCTAAGTGAAGTAAACGAGGCCCCAGGGCTAGTGACAGACGCAGACGTACAGCAGGCCTGCAACATTGCCCTTGCCAGGTGGAACCGCACCAGCGTGTGGGGAAACCACTCTCCAGGGCCTGCTGTTGATTAAGATGGATTCTGTCTCAAAAGCGTCTTTTTTTCCAGTTCTGCTGCAAGTCTTTTAATGCCAACATTTAAATCTGTTCTAATCTCACGAGTCTCTTATTTGTGTGCTCAATTCCCATATCCACTGTCTGAACAGGCCGCCGACCCAGCCCCGTGCTGCCCCCCATGGTTTTGTCAGGGTCCCCGGTTAGCACCACGCCGGCAGCGGCCTTCCGCTCCTGGCAGCTTGCTGTCTTGAAACATCAGTGTCCTGTCAGGAGCAGGGCCTGCCAGTGTCGGTTCACACATAGGGCTGTAGCCTGTCTGTGGCTGGCAGAGGATGGAGAGTTTCCTCGCAGAGACGGTCAGCAGGCACTTGCCAGCCTGCCACCCTGCCGGAGGAGGCCCTGGCAGCGGATCAGCCGTGACCAGCGCGGCCCCTGTGGGGAAGGGCCACATGGTGGGGCCGGCGGCAAGCCCAGAGGCACATCCTAAGGCCACGTTCATGCTGGGGCTTGTGTTTTGCAAAGATTTCAAAGCAAAACAACTACAAATTCAGAGCGAGTGGCTGGCTTTGCCCTGGCACCAGCCTTTGGGGGGTTGCGTGTGAGGCAAGAGAAATGGCACATAGGAGGCAGACGCCCGGCAGAGCCCTGGCCCTCTGGGTCATGAGGTCAAGGGCCCAGATGGCTGAAGCCTGAGCTGGAGGTGCAGCCCGTCCCCCTGAGGGTCCGTGGCATCTTGATTCTGTGGCTCATTCTCCTGGCACTGTGTGCGTCCTGGAGCGTGTCCTGCAGCCAGACACAGGCCGGGCCGTCTTCAGGGAGTGATGCTAGCGCACAGCACCGCCTGGCATCTGGGCCAGTGCGGTTTCCTTCCTGTGTCTTCGCAGACACACAGGCATGTCCCTTGTCCTGGGTCGGGTGCTCGGCCCAGCGCGTTCCTGGTGACGCCTTCACCCCGAGCCTGGTGGTTGTAGTGGACACAGTCTGACACGTTCCCTCTGCAGGCTTTGAAGGCGACCCACAGGCAGTGCTGCAGGTCATCAGGAGGTACATCCGCACCTTCTTTGGGTGTAAGGAATGCGGGGAGCACTTTGAAGAAATGGCTAAGGAGTCCATGGACTCCGTGAAAACCCCAGACCAAGCAATTCTCTGGCTTTGGAAGAAGCATAACCTGGTTAACAGTCGCCTAGCAGGTAGGCAGAAGCCACACGGTGTGGCCAGGCGAGGCCGGTGCCTGGGAGCAGAGGGGCGGGTGCCATGGGCGTGAAGGCGTGTCCTGTGGGCGCGGAGGCCCCACCCATGAGCCTTGGGGCCCGCTGCCCCCACGGCTCACAGCTGGGACGTCTGCCCCGATCAGACGGTGACCTTGCCTGGGAGCTGCCACCACAACAGCGCTCCCGCCTGTAGTGTCCCAGGTTTCCAGATTGTTCTCTTGCTTCGGGGGCCACATGGGGCCACGCTTGACCCCTCCATGGGTAGTCCACTGACTCCCAAGTAAATTTGGCAGTGGGAGACTTGGAATAGAATTAATTTTCAGTAAGGAATTTTAGTGTCATTAAAATCTGCTCTCAGACTATAAACCAAATCCCTCAAAATAGCTTTGTTTAAAAAAACTAAATAGGGTGCATGTATTTTCTCAGGGTTAAGTAATTCAAACTGTTCCTAAATCAGTGGCAGATTAAAATTAGGCTTAAAAATAACTCCCCTGAGAAATAAATCTTAATAGAGATGAATAGAAAATGCCACTAAACTATTGGTTTTTACTTAGTCTACTGTATTATAAAAACATACTGTGAATAAAGCACTAAAGAAAATTGGTTTTTCTTTGAGCTCAGAGCTCACTGCTGGGCTCCGGTCACGTGGCCACGGCCCCTTTTGTGTTTACCCGGATTTGGCCATTGCCATCAGCTGTGGGCCAAGGCACTTCCACGGTGACCCTAGTACAGGGACTTGTCCACCTCCAGGGTGTCGGAGTTGTCCCTCCCTCTGTCCCCCGCCACCCTCTCTCCCCAGAGAGGCCCACGTGCTTATCCCAGCAGCGCTCCGCTCTGAAGCAGCTAGGCCTGCCCCAGCCGTTACACTGTCACAGCGCGGCTTTCTGCAGCCCGCGTAGCTGTCACTCCTAGATCCCGTTGTGCCCCCAATCCCACCTCTGGCCTCTGGGTTGTGACCCAGATTCCTGGGACCTCCCTATCTCTGCGGTGTTGCACGAGGATTCGGGCAGCTCTGCATTCGTTCCCTTGTGTGTCCAGAGCTTCCACTGGACGTAACGGGAACACAGCCCCTGGGCCATCCGTGGTCTGCACCCCCTCCAGGCTCCGTATGTCACACCTGCCTGTGGGAAGGCTCCTCTGCCACTGCGAGCCCTGCTGTGGCACGTTTATCACATGAGGCTGAAGAACACATCCAGTTAAAACTGAGCATGGTGTGGTTCATCTTGTAAAAAGGCATTTGCCACATCAAAGAGATTGGGAAGGACCCCTTCACCCCACCCTGGGCCACCCCTGGGGGCAGGCTGGGGACCAGCTGTGCTGTGCTTGTCTGTCCTCACCTTTTCCTGTAGGGACCAGGGCTCATCTCTGGGGTATTCTTAGGGATCCTTAAAGGACCTTTAGGGCTCAGGAGGGGCCTCCACAGCGCCTGCGCCTGGAGCGCTGGCAGACACCTGCATGGAGAGCATCAGGGCTGGGTGTCCTGGGCCGCGGCCTTCAGGGAGCCCCTAAGGGAAGGGAGGACAAGCAGGGGTGGGGCAGGCCGAGCGGGGGCCCTCAAGGTCAAAGGCACAGAGGCGAGAACTTGGCACAGCCCATTTTGGAAGCCAAGTAGCTGGACAGATGGGAGCAGGGTGTGGCCAGGTGAGTGGCGGTGTCCAGGTGTGGATGTGGGGACCTGCCAGGGTGTCAGGGAAGAGATGGCATTTAATATAGGGAGCCTTAGGGGAACGGGCTGCAGCCTGTGCAGGAAAGGGGCGTGAGGGGAGCAGGANCCTCAGCGGCGTAGGACCCGGCTCCCTCCCCTAACCCTCCTCTCAGGACCCCAGCCTACCCGCGTGCGCGCTCGCTGGAGTCCAGGCCTCAGCCTGCGCCCCGTGGCGCGGGGGCAGGACGCCGCAAGGCCCCAGCCAGTGCCTGCGGGCAGTCCTGGCCGGGCTCCTCCTCTGCCCGTCCCCGCCCTCCCACCGGCGCTCGAGGTGGCGTATGGGCACCGTGAGTCCCCGCGCCGAGGCGCGCAGAGCTGGCGGATGCCCCCCGGGAGTCTCAGCGATCCCCCCCGGCCCCGCCCCGCGTCGCGGCCCCGCCCCCAGCCGCTCCGCCCTCCGCGCGGCCGGAGGCTCGGGGCCCCCGGGGCGGCCCGCGGGCTCAGCGCCCAGCAGTGCCGGGAGTCGCTCGGATGCCGGCCTGGGGCCACTGAGGCCGTGGCCTCACCAGGCCCCGGGAAAGTTCGGGGCCGCAGAGCGGCAGCGCCGGGCGGCTGGACCCATGGAGGCGCGCGGGGAGCTGGGCTCGGGCCGGGAGTCCGCGGGCGGCGACCTGCTGCTGGCGCTGCTGGCGCGGAGGGAGGACTTACGCCGAGGTGGGTGCCCCGGCTCAGCGGCTGCACCAGGGAGGGCGGACCACCAGGAGACCTGGAGGGTTTCGCTCTTTTCTGGGCCTGGCTACTGGACCCATGGGACCCGGGCAGAAGTGGGTGCAAGGGCCCCAGCACGTCCCCACCTGGGCGCCCCAGCAGCAAGTTTGCGTCGGGGCCTCTGGAGCTGTGTTGTCGGGTGTATGGTCGCGGCGCTGCACCGCTCAGGCCAGGCGCCCTCCGGATCCAAGGACCTGTTTAGGGAACCCCCTCCGACATAGGGAGAGTGTGCAGAGAGCAGCCAAGGGGCCCAGTGACCACGGGGCAGGAGGATGCCCCAAAGGACAGCCCCCATCCAGACCCCCCACACTTTTCCAGGAAGAGTCAGATGCAGGGGCCAGGGTGTGGCTGGGCCCCATCTGTAGGTGCCCCTAGTTGGGGTCTCGGCGTCTGCACCCACACGCACCTGTTCTGTTGGCCCGCTCTGGGCTGGTCTTCAGGACCCTGCTACAGGAAAGCCCCCAACTTCCTGCTGGCACCAGCCTCACCCCCAGTGCTTTGGCTCCCGGGGGATCGGGGCCATTCTCCACGGGCTGGTGGGACCCGCAGGATGGAGACAGAGGTGGCCTGGGGAGGGGGGGACTGGCAGGAGCACAGCAGGTGGGAACGGGGTTACATCCAGGCTGTGGGGTCCCATCCTCCCCTACTTATTTATTTATTTTCCGACGGTTCCTGGGAGGGGTTGACCGCGGGGGCTGTGAGGACGGTGGGAGGGCGGAGAGGGAGGGNGCATGTATTTTCTCAGGGTTAAGTAATTCAAACTGTTCCTAAATCAGTGGCAGATTAAAATTAGGCTTAAAAATAACTCCCCTGAGAAATAAATCTTAATAGAGATGAATAGAAAATGCCACTAAACTATTGGTTTTTACTTAGTCCACTGTATTATAAAAACATACTGTGAATAAAGCACTAAAGAAAATTGGTTTTTCTTTGAGCTCAGAGCTCACTGCTGGGCTCCGGTCACGTGGCCACGGCCCCTTTTGTGTTTACCCGGATTTGGCCATTGCCATCAGCTGTGGGCCAAGGCACTTCCACGGTGACCCTAGTACAGGGACTTGTCCACCTCCAGGGTGTCGGAGTTGTCCCTCCCTCTGTCCCCCGCCACCCTCTCTCCCCAGAGAGGCCCACGTGCTTATCCCAGCAGCGCTCCGCTCTGAAGCAGCTAGGCCTGCCCCAGCCGTTACACTGTCACAGCGCGGCTTTCTGCAGCCCGCGTAGCTGTCACTCCTAGATCCCGTCGTGCCCCCAATCCCACCTCTGGCCTCTGGGTTGTGACCCAGATTCCTGGGACCTCCCTATCTCTGCGGTGTTGCACGAGGATTCGGGCAGCTCTGCATTCGTTCCCTTGTGTGTCCAGAGCTTCCACTGGACGTAACGGGAACACAGCCCCTGGGCCATCCGTGGTCTGCACCCCCTCCAGGCTCCGTATGTCACACCTGCCTGTGGGAAGGCTCCTCTGCCACTGCGAGCCCTGCTGTGGCACGTTTATCACATGAGGCTGAAGAACACATCCAGTTAAAACTGAGCATGGTGTGGTTCATCTTGTAAAAAGGCATTTGCCACATCAAAGAGATTGGGAAGGACCCCTTCACCCCACCCTGGGCCACCCCTGGGGGCAGGCTGGGGACCAGCTGTGCTGTGCTTGTCTGTCCTCACCTTTTCCTGTAGGGACCAGGGCTCATCTCTGGGGTATTCTTAGGGATCCTTAAAGGACCTTTAGGGCTCAGGAGGGGCCTCCACAGCGCCTGCGCCTGGAGCGCTGGCAGACACCTGCATGGAGAGCATCAGGGCTGGGTGTCCTGGGCCGCGGCCTTCAGGGAGCCCCTAAGGGAAGGGAGGACAAGCAGGGGTGGGGCAGGCCGAGCGGGGGCCCTCAAGGTCAAAGGCACAGAGGCGAGAACTTGGCACAGCCCATTTTGGAAGCCAAGTAGCTGGACAGATGGGAGCAGGGTGTGGCCAGGTGAGTGGCGGTGTCCAGGTGTGGATGTGGGGACCTGCCAGGGTGTCAGGGAAGAGATGGCATTTAATATAGGGAGCCTTAGGGGAACGGGCTGCAGCCTGTGCAGGAAAGGGGCGTGAGGGGAGCAGGAGCACACGTCACCCAGACCCCGCCGGGAGGTCACAGTGGAGGTGGGTGAGGAGAGCGTGGCAGGCGGGCGGGCAGGGGACTGGCAGGGCCGTGGGAGGGGCGGGCCGTGGATGGGGGCGGTCAGGTCACCGGAAGGCCTCTCCGCTGTTGCTCTCGCTGTTCCTCCCAGGCCACCTGAGTGAGGACCCCAGGTTTCCAAAGGTCCCATGGCCCACTCCTGACCTCTGCCCGGCCTGCCACGAGGAGACCAAGGGCCTGGACAGCTGGGACGAAGGCCAGGCGCTCCTGTTCCTCAAGCGGCACTACAGCAGTGACAACTTGGACCACACGTACTCAGCGGCCCTGGGCGGTGCTGGCGACGGGGGAGGCCTGGCCGAGGCCCCGGAACAGGAGGGAGGCCCTGCTCTTCCGGAGAAGCCTGGAGACCAGGGTGCCCGGAGTCTTCATCCGCCCAGTGTGCCGCCTCCCAGACCGGGCCTGTCAGCGCGGCCGCGCCTCGGGCGGGGCTGGGCCGGGGCCCCTGGCCGCGGGGAGGCGGAGGCGGCCGTGCCCTTGCTGGGGATGGGCTTCTCCAGCCTGGACATGAGCCTGTGCGTTGTGCTCTACGTGGCTTCGTCCTTGTTCCTGATGCTCATGTTCTTCTTCTTCCGGGTGCGGTCCAGGCGGTGGAAAGCCCGGCACCACCACCCGGCCGTGTAGCGCCTTCGGGAGCGCAGCCCGGGCGCTGCGGTTCGTTCCACGTGCGGGTTTCGC